ACGGCGCGCGGCCGCGGCCCCGCCCCCTACCCCTTCCAGCGGCCTCGGCCCGGCGCTGGGCTCGGCCTCTTTCGCGCCGCCGTCGTAAAAGCTCGTTCCCGGGCCGGGCTCCCCTTCTAGAACCTTCCGGAAGGGCGCCGCGCTCCCCGGCGGGCGGGCCAAGGGTCAGGTGGCGTCACTTCCTGGAGGGAGAGGAGGAAGGGCTCGGATCTCTCACCTCGGCCGGCCGCCTGGAAAAGCCTAGAAAGTGCGCCCCTGGGCCTCCCGCCTCCCGCGGCCTGCGCGGGGCCGCCGCCACCAATCGGCGCGCGCGCTGCCGTCGCCGCCCCCTCGCACGCTCCGGCGCTGAGTGCGCCTGCGCGCTGCCCGGCCCTTTTTTTTTTTTTTTTTCTTCTTCTTCTTTCACGTGTCCCCCAGCCGGGCCCGCAGGACTCCTCTCCTGGCAGCGGCGGCCGCGGGTGCAGAGTCCGAGCTGCGGCGGCGCGAGTCATGGTGAGTGGGGTCCCCCCGGGGCTGGTCGGGGTAGACCCACGGCGGGCCCCGGGGAACCGCTTGAGGACTGGCAGGACGAGAAGTGGGGGGGCTCTGCAGTGTCCGGCGCCCGCAGCAGCGAGGCCCGTCCGCGTGTCTGTCTCCACCATGGCCTCGTTGCACGCGCACGTGTGTGCAAGGCCTGTGCGTCCCGGGCAGGGGGCGGGGACCCCGAGGCACCCCCAGGAGCCCACCTGCCCTGGCAAGGGCTAGAGTGGATGGGTGCTCCGGTGGAGAACGTGGCACCCAGGCTCAAAAAATGGACAACACCCCCTCCACCCCGCGTTAGTGGGATTAAAAAAAAAAAGTCCTAAGGAAGGAAAACGGGTGACCTTGGAGCAGACCAAGGTTGTGGCTAAAGGTAGTGTGGTTGCTGATGAGCAATGAAGACCACACACACACAATAATAAGGGAGTGGAAATTCAACTTGGCTTATATAGAGTGGAAAATGCAGTAATATTTCCTAGCCTGGGTTTTCCTGTCGGTTTGGGACGCTTTGACCTGTTCAGTGTTTGAAGGCGTTTAAGTGTGTTACGTGGTGCTCCCTGTTTGAACACACGTTTCTCTCCGCAGGCTGGACAGGCTTTCAGAAAGTTTCTCCCGCTCTTTGACAGAGTACTGGTTGAAAGGAGTGCCGCCGAAACCGTGACCAAAGGTGGCATCATGCTTCCGGAAAAGTCTCAAGGAAAAGTATTGCAAGCCACAGTGGTGGCTGTGGGATCAGGCGCCAAAGGCAAGGTAACTTGGAGCTGCGACAGGGGTACCGAGTATTATTAATGTGTGATGCGGAAGGAAAGGAGAAGCCAGTCCTAGGTTATCCGAAGGGGCTTTTTAAATAGCGGGTGTCGTCTTTGAAATAATTTCAGTTCACGGAGAACCTCGCATTAAAGGAAAACGATTGTAGAATTTTTTATTTTTATAAGAAATGGAGAGGGACTCTTAAAAAAGGCAAAAAGTACACACGGGTATTTTCCGTGTGTGTGTGTGTGTGTGTGTGTGTGTGTGTGTGTGTGTGTGTGTGTGGTCTGCTAGCTTGCAGAGTCATCACCTTACCCCTTGGGGACAAGGTCTCTGATTTGAACGAGCCTGGTTTCCAGCCCTGGGTATGTCGGGGTGACAGCCATTTTACTAGTTAGTGTTGGGATTCCCGCACTAACTCAGCAAGTCCGTTTACTCGTGGGCTTTCTCTGCGGTGCCATGCACTCCAGAGAGCAAAACGTGCCTGCCATGATGGTGGCTCATGCCCTGTGGCCCTGGTGCTTTGGAGGCCGAGGCAGGATTGTAGAGCCTTCTAGGCTAGCAGAAAGATCAGGGTGAGACTGTATCATAAAAAAGGAAAAACCAAACCTCACAAAATGAGTTCTTCGGTAGCTGTGTTGTAACCTGACCAAGTCTGTGCCTTCAGGACAAAGGACAGTAAATCAATAAAGGTATATTGAAACGAATACCAAGTTTTCGTTCATTGATAGAAGTTATACATGACCATTTACTGTTTGGTATGAAAAGCTGCTTTACCTCACATGGTCTAGAGGGTGTGTTAATATCTAACAATTAAAAAGTTAGCCAGCCTTCGCTGTTCCCTGAAGTGTGGTTTTAGTGTAAGCCACGGTGTTTATTTCACCTTGTAACTAGTAATGCTTATATTGCGATGACCTACATCTAATGTAAATTACATTACTTAACCACGAATGTGGTACCTAATAACATACTGGATCTGAGTGAGCACATTTCATTTGGTGACTTAGAAGTTGTCTGTAGAGTGGAGTGTGGTTGATGCATGCCTATAATTATCAACACTTGAAAAGCTGAGGCGGGAGGCTCCTGGTGTACATACTGAGACAAAGAGTCCACTGTGTATCTAGTGAACGAGATGCCCTGGCTAACCGGCTACTGTTTTCCTAAGGGTGGAGAGATTCAGCCAGTCAGTGTGAAGGTCGGAGACAAAGTTCTTCTCCCAGAATATGGAGGCACCAAAGTAGTTCTAGACGACAAGGTGAGTAAGGCTGTGATTTTAAATAAATTAGCTGGGCGGTGGTGGTACACGCCTCTAATCGCAGAACTCGGGAGGCAGAGCCAGGCAGATCTCTGAGTTCGAGGCCAACCTGGTCTACAGGGCAAGATCCAGGACAGGTACCAAAGCTACATAGAGAAACTGTCTTGAAAAACAAAAAAATAAATAAATAAATAGAAAAATTGATTTATTTGCTTTTACTGTCTTAACCAGTGGTTTCTTTATTCACAGGATTACTTCTTATTTAGAGATGGTGACATTCTTGGAAAGTATGTGGAATGAAATCACTGTTGAAATGGTGTCACATGAAGCTGCCCATTCCGCTGACAGTCTGAACTATTCATCATGTAAATTATTTCCATGCCTCCCTTTTATAATAAACTGATGATGCCCAAACTAATGACAGACACTGTCTCTGGAGTTTAGTTTCACTGTACTGTTATAAACATTTCCAAATAAAATATGTAAATGAATGGGCATTCTTTAGTAATTTAGAGTCCTGAGAAATAAGGTATTTCTAGGTAACTGAGTTTTCTGGATGAATTTGGCATTATTACATATGTGAGTGATGTTACTGGCTTGCTCCCCTTCTCAGGCTGCTTTCTTACACAGCTTGGGGCCACCTGCCCAGGGGTGGGAGGACCGCAGTGGGCTGACCCTCCCACATCAATCATAAAGATAATGCACGGTAGACTTTCCTAATGAAGGCAACTTCTCAGTTGCGGTTCCTCTTCGAAGGGGACACTAGCTGGTGTGAGGTTGACAAAAGTTAGCAACATTGTAAAGTATAACCTGGTGCCGGTCCTCTGTTACAAAGGTGTGTGGTTCTCACCCTCTTCGTTTTTTATTTCCTCAGCGTGTCTTAATTTCCAAATCTCACACCAAAATAGTTAGGTTTGTTTTGGCAAAACAACACAGGAAGCCAGATAGATGGCTCAGCGGTTAAAAGCACGGGCTGTTTTACCAGATTTGGTTGAACCTGGGTGGTAGCGCACTCCAGGGGTTCATTTCTTTGTGGTTCCCAAGGGATCTAACATGGTCTCTTGTGTGCTAGGGAAGCTTTCTGCCACTACAGTAGACTCCATAAACTTTCCATAATTTGAGTGCAGTTGATTTCAGAACAAGGGTGAAAAATGGTCACCACCTCCATCATAAGGTCGTGTGTGCTTTCCATGTGTATGTGTATGGATGCTTACATGTTTATTGCCTTTGATATGTCAAGGCCTAATTATCAAATTTAGATACAAAAAATAGGAAGTTTTGGGGGCTGGAGAGATGGCTCTGTGATTAAGAGCACTGGCTGCTCTTCCAGGGGCCCCTGGGTTCATTTCCCAGCACCCATGGGGCAGCTCACAATTGACTATAATTCCAGTTCAGAGGATCTGGCACCCTTAAACATACACACAGGCAAAACACCAATGCAGACAAAATAAAACTCTTAGAAGAAAGAAAAAAGACTTTAGTTCTTAGAGTATCCAGTTGGGTCATCAGTATTTATATTCTACTTGAGATGTAGCTAACAATGTACTTGCAAATTAATTTTGTTAGCACAATCCTAGCTGGCCTGGAATTTGCTGTGTAGACCAGGTGGGACCCAAGTCAGCTGTGTGTGTTTTGAGTGCTAGAATTAAAGCTGTGTACTTATGTTTAGCTGTTTTTGTTTTAGTTCTGTTTTTATTTTCCTCTTGGACAAAGATAAACAGCAACATTCCGTCTGCAATGCTGGCCCATGTTCTCAATGCCCTGTTTTTTCGGTGGTTCACTCTGCAGATACACACAGGGCCTGCTGCTTTGGTCTCCTTGAGTGCTTGGGTTATAGGTGTTATACACTGGGCTCAACCTACACTCATGACAGTTCTTTCTCTACTACCAATATAACCTCCTAAAATGGCTTTTTTAGCAGTTATTCTAGGCAAGTATCACAAGGGGCCCAACACTTCTAGTAGGCGTGGTTGGGGTCTTGAAGTATACCGAGTCATTCTGGGAATGAAATCAAAGCTTTAGAACGGAACCTTGGATCTCAAAACGTTTACTAATAGCAGTAGTAGGAAAGCTTCGATGTGGGCAAATCACACCTAAGTCAGTTTTTGCTTTGTGATCCACTTTCCTTCGGTTTGTGTATATGCACACTCAGGCCAGAGGAGGACGATGGGGTCTAGGCTGTGAGCACTGCCTTGTGCTCTGAGCAGGGGCTCACTGAACCTGGAGCTACACGCTGGCTAGCACTCCTATCTCGGTCCCACAGCGAAAGGCCTGCTGGGAATTTCAATTTTATACTGTGGCCCAGGCTTGCTCACACTCAGCAGCCTTGCCTCTGCCTCCCGAGTGCTGGAATTACATGTAGGCTTGCGCCACCACCACGTCTGGCTCCAGACCCTTGAAATTTTTTATTTTCAAATTCTCTTGCAACATTGCCCAGTTTGGCCTTCAGCTTCCCTCTGCCTCATTCTCTGAGTGACTGAGATAGATTACAGGCACGTGCTATGGTGCTTGACTCTTGTTGGGTTTTTTTATTTTTTTATTTCCATGTTTGTGTCTGTGTTGGTGTCATAGTGCTCATGTGGAGGTCAGAGGACAACTTGGGAGAGTTGATTCTCCTACCAGCTGGGTCCTTCAGCTTGAACTCTGGTCATCTGGCTTGGCAGCAAGAGATTTACCTGCTGAGTCATCTCACCAGTCTTGAAGCCGTCGTGTTTGGGTAGAATTGTATGCATTAGTAGATAATACTTTCTGAGAGGAAGGATGTGATCAGAAGAGACACGTCAACAATACAGTGACAGCATTTCTCTTTTCAATGGGGCACCTAATACTATGGTATGTTCTGGGGTTTTTGGTTTGTTTTTCGAGGCAGGGTGTCTCTGTAACAGCACTGGCTGTCCTGGAACTTGCATTGTAGACCAGGCTGGCCTCAAACTCAGATGCCACCACCACCCAGCTCTTACAGTTTTTGTTGTTTGGTTGGTTGATTTGGTTGGTTTGTTTGTTTTGAGACAGAGTCTCTATTAAGTAGCCCTGGGTGTCCTGGAACTTGCTATGTACACCAGGCTGACCTCAAACCTCACAGTATGAAATCCACATGCCTCTGCCTCCCAAGTTGTGGAATCAGGCTTACGCTAGCACACCAGGCCTTTTTTATGGTAGTTTCATAATATTGTTTCTGTGTTTTCTCATTTTATCAACTTTATGTTACCACTTCTTTTTTTTTTTTTTTTTTTTTTTTTTTTTTTTTTT